AAAAAAAAACAATTTTCAAAAGACAAGGAACCCTAGCCTTGTTTAAGAAGCCTTTAAGAACAGTGGCAGCTTTAACGGATAGTGAACGAGGTATTCTTATCTGTTTCTCAAGAATTATTTGAAACAGATAATCTTCTGTATTTTGTTCAGCATCTCCCGCCATACCAACTATATCAAATGGTGATCTGCCTGCCATCATTTCGTACATCAGAACTCCTAACGCCCACCAGTCAACGCTAAACCCTAAAGAAAAAAAATTAAAATAATTAAAATTCGACGAAAGTACGGTAAGACTGAAGTTATAATTGACAGACCGTAATCTTCTCCACGGAGGATTTCTGGCGCAATGTAATTAGGAGTACCGCAAAAGGTGCTGGTGAGATCCCCCGGTCCTACGTTTTCCTTAAATTTTTTCAGTTTGGGAAATATTACAAGAAATTTTAGTCATTATAGTGTTTCACTAGTCCCGTAGAACTCTGACAAGTTGAAAAAGTAGAAGAGAAACACTTACCTTGCACATACCGTAATCTGTAAGCTTTATGTGCCCTTGAGCATCGATTAATACATTATCCAACTTTAAGTCACGATAAATAATCCCACAAGAGTGTAGAAAGTGTAGAGCAAGAATTATTTCAGCAGAATAAAATCTGAAAAGTAGTTCTTCAATAAATTTCAAAGATATTCGTAATTCTTATAAAACAAAAAAGCAAAATCTTTTGAAGTTCTAACTTCAAAAGAGAGATTGCAGGGAAGAAAATAAATGAAAAAAACTTGCAGAAATCTTCTCCACGGAGAATTTCTGGTGCAATTTAATTAAGAGTATAGTTGGTTATAGAAGAGAAATCTTAAAGTCTCTGACAAAATTTAGTAAACGCTAAAAACAAATCAGTACATTTTACCTTGCATGGTCTTCTGGCAACTTCCTTTGCCGCTGCATATGAAACATAAGATCACCACCAGGAACAAATTCGATAACAAAAAACAAACGCGAATCTGTCTACAAAGTAAAATCTGCTCACAGTAAATTTGTCAAGATCACTAAAAGACTCAAGAACATAAATTAGAAGAAAAAAACTAATTATTCGAAATAAGTTTCGTCCCCTAGAAAGAAGAGAACTAAACAAACCTGGAAGCAAGAATGGAGCCCAACTAAGAACGGATGGTTAGAGGCAGTTTCAAAAACCGATTTCTCAGTTTGAACCCAATCAATGTCCTGTTAAAGCAAAACAAATTTCCAAAAGTGCCAAGGATTTTGGAAGTATATTTTCAGTTATATCAACAAGAAAAAATCTTTGACCGATTGTGGTTCATAAAACTTGAATTATTGGAAGAGCAAATTTAACTAAATCAAGGTCAATTTAACTAAATCAAGGTTCATTACCTCGTCGTCATTGAACATCTGTTTCTTTATTATTTTTATTGCATAAATTGCCTTCGTTTTTTTGTGTTCAGCTTGCACTACTTTTGCGTAGGAGCCTGAAATAGTTTCTAATGAGCATAAATTATTTTTCCAAACACTACCTCAACATATTTTAAAAAATAAAGGATTACTCTGATAAGAACCCACCTCTGCCTATAACAGTAAGAAGATTAAAGTCATCAAGAGAAACAGTTTGCCTTTTTGGTTCCGGTGGTATCGCGGAACGATATTCTTTTCCAGCAAAAGAACCAGCGATCTAAAAGGACTAGTAGAATCCAAATTAATGCTCCAAAGCCTCCTCCTTTGTTTCAATTGTGGTGAAAACTTAAAATGTCGAGAAAAAACCAACCTCTGGAAGGTTTTCAGCCTCTATTTCTGACTCCTGAAATCCGTGGTTCTCAACGCCAGCACGAGTGTTTTCGCCGCCATTATAATGAGCAGTTGGGAATAAAGCAACAGAAGGTGAGGGCATAACCGAAGGAGGGACGGCCTAAAAAAACATTTGAGCAGTATCACCTCTAAGACGTTTCTGCATCAACCAAAAAAGAGTACAGCAACAAAAACAGTTTGAAATAATAAGCTTACATCTCCACAAGGCTGCCGGACAAACCGATGACATTTTTTATGAACACAAAGTTTACAATCAGCGCAACGGTAGCCTTGTCGACCAAGACCCCATATGTAATCATTACAATAAAAACACTGGATACGCCGATTCAGCCTCTTCGCTTGAAAACGATGGCCGTTTACGTGATAAAATTTCTTCCAACGCCTAGCTCCTCGTCTATAGACTGTTTCTGAAAAGGATAAAAGAAAATCAACGAACATTTTTTTCCAAAAGGTGATAATATTGCACCAAAAACATCTAAATCAAAAAGTAATAAAATTTTTCATATCTTGTGCAGTGAGAACATAACTTACTGTCTTCGCCATTACACGGCAACCCTGGAAGGGCTGGAATGCCAAGGAATACATGAATATTCAGTTCGGCTTCCCCATTCACTTTAAGCAGCCGCAAAGCCTCATCCAATTCTCTTTGTGAACCGATAGTGCATGGATCACCTAAAACGTAAAAGAGGAAATAATCACGACTTATAATACATGACTTACACTTAAGAATAGAAAAAATAAAAAGCAGAAATGCTCAGGCCAGAAAGAAGCGATAAGGAACAGCTAGAAAAACACACATATTATACTGCATGCAGATTTGATTCATATTATTTAAAAGACTCCTAAAGAAAAACTAAAACCACGGGAGAATAAAAAGAAAAACACCACACCTTCCTCGTCTATCCACTTAACTGTAATCGGCTGATTTTGCGGCTGTTTACAAGCCTCTCTCAAATTGGCCAAAAAAGTGTCTAGCCTCAGTGGAATTTTAGCATATAAAATCAAAACCTGAAAAAAAACAATTCAACAATAGTTTTTATTTAGAAAGAACTATTATAAACTATAAGTATACATACAAAACGTTCACACACTACAAACTAATAAAAGAATTTAACCAAAGATTGCTCAGAATATAACAACAGTTACACGCCCAAAAATGATAACTCTAATTACCTGGCCATGAAATCTCGTCTTCAGTTTTACATCATCGTTAACTTCCTCCATTCGAAAATCACCAAGTTAGAGCACTTTAGATTATAAGTCTCACTGCGACAAAACCAAATCTGAAATAAAGCAACTTTGTCACAGCTATTTAACAGTGCTTCATGCAAGAAGCAGCCTTTACGCGTCATCATACCAAATCGCAGCAATATATTTTAATGCTGGAGTAGTGAATGAGATAAGTTTATACGTATCAGCTTTGAAACGACTCTTAGTTCAGTACTCGTTATTACAGAGCGCGATTCAAATCTAATGTTCAAAAGTCCAACGGAATCTGGCTATCATCAATGACTAAAAATAGTAATTTACGGCAATAAATGTGTTTTGAAGGAAGTATCAACAAATATAAATGAGTACACGCACAAAACGAAAAAGTAATTTACTGAGTTTGCACTTCAACGATGGTACAAATAATTCAATTTCCGCTACTGGTTCTGCGCAGAAGTCATTATTGTATTAAAAAAACTGACTTGATACAAACCAACCTAAATCAAGTTGTTGAAATAAACGACCCAAAGCATTATATGTACTTTTTTTTTTTGAGGGGAAGGGGGTACAAACTGTGGTCATAATGAAACCCTTTATATGAACCTGGACAAACTACATATCAGTTTACAAAAGCATAACTAATTCTCACACATCATCCATATAATGCAGTGAATATCGAGAAGTGATGAAGTTGAAAACAAAGCAAAAAATAACATGAAAATACAAAGCGAAAAGTCGAGACAACCTCGCGATAAATCAGACAATACCAATCACAGTATCCTCTC